AGTTCCACCACCCACTAGTAAAGCCATTGACCTCTGAGACACAGCTCCTACACCCTGGCTGGCACAGGTGGCTTGGGGAGAGGTGTTCCTCTTCACTGGCCAGGTCAGAAAACCCTTCTGTTGTAACCTAGAGAAGGTTACTAATAAAATAATCACACAAAGGTTGGTAATGGACGGTAATACTTTAGACAAGAACACCACATATAAGATTCACCAGTGGCACAGTAAAAGTAGTAGTCAACTTTAAGAAGTGAGTCAAGTGAATTCCATAATGAATCTCCAACTGCAGGATATTTACTAACTGCCCCATGCGGTCAGATGTAGCACAAGTCTGAACTTAATGTGGGGTATCCGAGCACATAGACTTGGGCAAAAATTCCCCATAGACCTTATATAAAATGGAGTCAGGTAGCTGTTTCCCAAGATGAGACTCTGCCCTTTGACATAGCCTTATCTGAGTATCCTCTCTGCCCACAGGTAGAGAGTTTGACCAGCACAGCTGGAGACATATCTCCAACTGCAAACCAACATACAGTATTTACTACATACACATTATCATCTATAGGTATATTACAACACCTTCCAACAATCCTCACATAGTTTAGCTGGTAGGTCAATGACGTTGACCAGGGTGGAGCTATCACAATGCCAATGTGACTTCTTGGAGCCATGTTTGAGAGTTAGATGTAGGTCATGAACACAGTTCTGCATCTCAATTCACCTGAGTAAAGCACAGTTGCCCGCTCACTGCAAAGGTGCTATCACTGATAATACACCAAAAAGAATAATTTATAAAATATAAATTTTATTTTATTTTTCAACCTCAATTTATTTAATAAACTTAGAGGTTTATTTTTTTGTTGATATTTTATTTACATTATTCGGACTATTGTCCTCATCTTTGTCGCCATATTTATCACAATGTTTCAGCCATTATACACTCCGGCCTTCTTCAGGAAATAACTGATAACTGACATCCATTAAACATGGCAAGTGGAACTAGAACAGTCTACCCCAGTGAGCGAAATAAAGGGTTCAGTTTGACATTCCAATCATCTGAAGAAGGCCGGAGCATAGAACAGCTGAAGATTTGTGATAAATATGGTGACAAAGATGTAGACAATAGTCCGAATAATGTACATAATAACTCATCTCAGAAATATAGACAGATATTTTATTTATGCAACCTTTTCTGCATGCTAATTATGTTGTACAAGGGCTTCTTTACATGCTATTATCTTATCAGGAAAGAAATCTTGGGGATGAGGTTGAATGTTACAGTAGTAACAGTATTACATTTCTTTGCTTCAATTCTAAATTTTTGACCTTCTAAATGATTTTTTTTATTTAGACTCTTCTAAATAAAATAAATAATTTTACTATACAAATCTTTGGATAGTCAAAAAAAAAAAATTCTGACTATGTCCAATAATTAGCACCCCCACCTCTATGTAATAGGAACCTAAAAATTGTTGAAACATTTTTTTTAATCTTCAATAATCTTCAAGACTTGTTGTTATAACATTTTAATTCATTTAGACCAGTAGTTCTCAACTGGTGTCCATTTGAGCCCTGGGGGTCCACACAAAAAATAACAAATTGGGCAGCCTTTACACAATAATATTTTAGTGGGCCATAAGCAATTTAACTTCAGAACAATTGTTACAACTGAGAATTGCAATTTCTACAGTTATCTATGTTAAAATACTAAAAATAGGAAAACAGCTCTAAAACTAGCAGAAAATGAGATCATGCTATGCAAGTTAGCATCCCTTTTACTCTACCGGATATTTTGATTGTAAAAAAAGTTTAATAAAACTGAGAAGGATATATAAAGGAAGGAATATATATATATATATATATATATATATATAATTTTTATTTTTTTTAAATCTAAGCTCTACTTCTGTATGGAGCACTGCTTTTTAAAAATAAAAACAAAAATACTAAAGAACCCTGGATTATTTACCTAATGTGTTCTTTCCTATCTTTCTACATACCTACACACACACATATATATATATATAAAGAAAAATTATATAAAGATTATAACTTATTATATAAATTAATTAATATATTGACATAATTAATATAAAATATTAAAAACAATAAAATATGAGTAATAAAATTAATCTAATATATAAATTATGTAAGGATTATGTATAAAGAAAGGATTAATAGTATTAACCTCTTCAGCAGCAGTTTCTGGCAAAATCATCCCCTGAGAGCCTATATATGTACTAGTGTACATAAATGTTCCATAGAATTTAGTTGTTAAACAAGTTTATTTTCATTAAATTAATTTTACTTTAAAATAAAGCATATACATTTACAATTTCTATAATACAATTCCTAAACTTATCTATTAGTAAAAAAATAAAATAAGCTGCTTTCATCAATTGGTTATGGGGGTCCACCAAAAACAATTAAGAGTAAAAGTGGACCATGGGTAAAAAAAAAAAAGTTTGAGAACCACTGATTTTAACTAACAGCTTGTTCATTGTATCTCAAGATACAACGCAAATTGATGCTTGCAATATTATTGTCATTATTATTTTAAAACTACAGCCCTTTAACCTTTTGTGATTGCAGTTGTAGATATCCATTAAATATTCCTTGTAAAATCCTCTCTGCCTGAATAAAACTTCTCTAGTTTATCTACAATAATCTTTGATTAGCGTAATAAAATTTTATCCTCAATTCAAGTTGGCTAACCACTGACCTACATAGTACCAATAAAACAAGCCTCTATAAAAAAAAAATCCTCTTATTAGTCCTATGATTATGATATATAATGGCATATAAACACTCTTCTCTCTCCATGCTCTGTTTGTTCTCTTCCTGCTGCATTTCCTATTCATTGAGCACTATTCAACCAACCTTCTACTCCATCTGTTATCCTCCCTTCTTACTTATGCATTCCATCCACCTTCGTTATGACTGCTTAATAACTTCTATATTTTTTTTTTCCCTGTGCTTTTGGATATGTATTGGCTTTTCTCTCAATATTTTCTTTCTCTCTCTCTCACACACACACACACATACAAGAGCAAAAACCAGGTTAGTGTATATATAATTTTTTTTAAAAAGTATATTCATATTTGAATATATGGTCTGAATAGCAAGAGATATGATAATAAAGAATAATCTTTAAAAATGTAAAATTTCCTCTTGTATTTCTTGCTTTTTAAACTCTCTTCCAGCCTCTTGCTTCCCTGTCAACTTTGATCTTCAAAAATCTACGTGCAATGTCAATCGTTAGCTTCTGTCTTCTTAATTCTTGTTCTTTTATTGTCCTCTCTCCTTTATAGTGTTTTTTCTCATATTCTCTAACACTGCCTTTTCTATAAATACTTTCATGGTAATTGTTCTGATGAACCTTCCGCCATGTTAACTAGTCCTAGATTGGCGGCAAGGACCCATCAATTTACAGTTGAAAATGGAACCATAAGTTCTGTGCTCAATAAACATTACTCTAAATATCAGTGTTGAAGATTCTTTAAAAAAAATTATGAATAGTTTGATTTTTAGTTACAACTTACTGTAAAATAGCAACAAGGTCTCATCATTTTACAGATGAAAATGGCTAGATGGAACCGTAAGTTCTATGCTAAGATTTTCTTCTATTGCACTTCTCACTTGTTGAACTCACTTCTTGTTTTTTGTTTCCCAGTCAAAGTTCTCAAAAATTTAAATGCAATGTCAATCGTTATCTTCTGTCTTCTTAATTCTTGTTCTTTTATTGTTCTCTCTCCTTAATAGTTTTTTTTTCTTTTCCTTATAGTCTCTAACACTCAGTAACCCCTTGCGTCTTGAGATGAAATGATTTTAAAAAAAAAAAAGGATTTTTTTCTTTTGAAAATATTTATTTAGACTCATTTGGACCAAATTCTTTTTCTTTGTATATTGTATTTTCTTGTGCATAATATAAGAAATTTTGAGCAAAAATTAAAAGCAAAAAAGTTGGGGTTATTATACACATATAGGTTTTCAGAAATGTTTTACTCAGCTCAAAAATAAACCTCTTACTTGAAACATGATTGCAAATACACTCAGCACAACAAGTAATAAAACACAAAGCCAACAGGTGTTAATAACAATTGTTTACAAAAGGTATTTGATATGTTGGTAATCTTTGTTTCTCTTTATTCTTAATGAAAGACAATAATTTTACAATATTTTTTATTTTCATACTTTATTAATATACAGAAATATGATGAAAATCATATCAAACAGAAATATATGATAGATTAATTAACACCTTAAAATGTATTACTGAATATGTCTAGTTAGCACCTTTCCCTGAAAATTCTAAAATAAGTTTTGAAATAGAAATTAGGAGAAGAAACACAATTGCTAAACTTCTGGTTCATTTCTATTCTTTAATATCACAAATTTAGTGAAATAAATGTACAACATTAAGATTTAAATAGATAATATGGAGATGACTGTATTACTAGGTAATTGTGAGTTCAATCCTTGGGCTGGGCAATATATAATTGGACTCGGTGAGAATATGGTGCATAATAACAGGGGCAGTACTAAATAAGAATTAAAGGATTCATCCCTAGACATGGCTAGCAGAATGAGAATAATCCACTTCTAGATTAAATAAAGGTTTTGAATTGAAATTCCCTGTAGGTTACCTGGATTGACATACACCTGATGAAGGCCAGAGGGAACAATGGTCGAAACATTGTGATAACAACAACAAAGATGAGGACAATAGTCCGTATGTAAATACCGTATTTTCTTGTGCATAATATGAGAAATTTTGAACAAAAATTTAAGTTGGGGGGTGTCTATTATACACAAGTACAGGTTTTCATAAATTTTTACTCAGTTTTAAAAAAACCTCTTATTGGAAACAGCATGATTGCAAATACACTCAGCACAATAGATTATAAAACACAAAGCTGACAGGTGTTAACAATTGTCTAGAAAAGGTATTTGCTATGTCAGCAAAATTTGTTTCTCTTTTCATTCTTAAAAAGCTTATGGCCTCATCACATTGAAACACCAGTTCCCATACAATCACCAAAGTTAAGCAACATCGAGCCTTGACTGTACTTATATGGGTGACCACTTGAGAATACCAGGTGCTGCAAGCTTGGATGTGCAGGTGGTGTAATGGATAATAGCTCAGAATTTTTAATTGGAGAGCTCAGTTCCAATTCCAGTTGGGTTTGTTATATTCACTTACACACAAATAGCTTTGGGAAAGGTATAAATCCACCTCTTCTTCCCCAGCTATGGGTTAATTAGTAAAACTTGTATCACTAAATCATTATTATCTCAAAAAATTCTTACAATCTAAAAACATTTTCTGGCTTTAAATAACCTGCAAAACAAATTAATCAAAAAGCACTTTCTTAATGAAAAACAATATTTTTTATAATGAAGTATATGTAAGACATTGAGATTTTAATGGATAATATGGTACACCTTTTCAAAAAAAATTACATAGTGCTGGCTGTACTAGAGGATTGTATTATACTCAACAATGTAATTTATTCCCTGTTTTTAGTGTGAAAAACACTGGGTCATTATGCACGAGAAAATACAGTATATGCACTTGTATTCTTTGATGTCAGAGTCAATATTAATTGCTTGAACCTTTCAAATTCCCTGAAATATTGCATCGGATTCTTTTATGGGAATTTCTTGCTTTACTTTATGAAGTGTTGCCCAACTTTCCCTTTCAAGAATCAGTAAAATATTTTTCCCATGAAATTTGAAAATATTAACATGCTAATCAAGATTAAATCTATGATATGCAGGATTTGCTATTTATAAACCATTTAAACTCCAGAATAAGATGAGTCAAATCAAAGCCATGTTGAGAGGGGTTAGATTTTTGGTAAATGACCTGGACTAAGAACTTTTCATAACCTCCTTAAATATATATACTCAACCTGACCCAATTACAAAAATGTGCATTTTTTTTTTTTTTAAGGGCTTTTTGATGAGACTGAGAACTTTTCAGCATCTTCATATATAAAAAGATAGCAAAGTGATACTAATTTTACAGTCTTGATGTAATTTATATAGAGTAAAATATTCACATATTCACTGGTGGGAGATAAAAAAAAAAATCTGGATATTGTCAACCACTTTACCTGTTGACAATAATCTGTTGACGTAATTCTGATTTCTGCATAAAATGTATACATATCAATATCTTCTTCAGTTTACACCTTCATGAAAGTAGTTGTATTTGCTGTGATATATCCATGTGTTGAAATTATAATATTTAAAAATAAAAGAATAAGTCAAGCTTATGTGCCTCAATTTTGCTCTGGATGTCAATATACTAATGAACCGTTCCTTAATTACCTAAATCAGATTTTAATCATCAAACAAAAGCGATCTATTTTTTAATTTGATTTTAATTTCTTTTCTTTTTTTAATTATATTCCATTTTTTATTATTTCTAAAACTATAGTCTTATAAAATTAAACTTGACAAATATTAAAGCACTCTACAGTTATTCCAAGTTGAGAATAATGGTCTGAGCCCCCGCTGTAAGTCTTGAGGTTCTCAACCAAATCCAGAGATGGATATGCAATGTGAAAGGTCCTGATCTGGCATCTAGTCTCACTTTCACACATACATGCCATGGCTTCCCTCTGTCTCTTCTATAAATATTTTCACAGCAACTGTCCCGACGAGTTGCTTTCTCTTGTTCCCAGACTGCATGAATTTAAGGGAGCTACTAGGTTGGAATCTCGGTCCCACCCTTTCACTGTTGAAATAGTTAAATGTAACTGTCTCTTCTACTCAAACATCTTCTTTTCTCGCACTTCTTGTCTGTGGAATTCTATTCCTCTTACTTGCTTCCCTGATAACTATAATATTCAAGTGTAATGTCAATCGACATCTTCTGATACCTTGATTTTATTCCTTGTCCTTCTCTTTATCCTCTCCCCAAACATGCTTCTTTACTCTTGTTTTCTACCCTCTGTAATCCTTTGTGTGCTGGTGGCACTCCCACCTTGTTTGGAGTAAAATACTTAAATAAAAAAAATAATTTACATGAGAGTGCTGAAAAGTTTACAATCTAAAAAAGAAGGGATTTAAAAAAACACATATACACTTATATTTATCATATTTTTTTTGTGTATAACTTAAAACATAATGTCAAAATCTGCTTGCATCCTATACACCAAAGTTATTAATAATATATATATATATATATATATATATATATATATATATATATATATAAAAAAGATATATATATATATATATAACAAAAGATATATATATATATATATATATATATATATAATATATATATATATATATATATATAACAAAAGATATATATATATATATATATATATATATAAAAAAAGACATATATATATATATATATATATATAAAGACATATATATATATATATATAAATATATATATATATATATATATATATATATATATAAAAGATATATATATATATATATATATATATATATATATATATGGACAAAAGGAAAACTTAGCTGATGCATTTTTTTCTTAAACTTTATCAAGGCAAATCTGAGGATTTTATTTTGCAACAAGTATTTATGAACAGAAGTAAATAATGATTTTCTCTGTTGTGAGAATTTCTTTTTGTTTAAATATCTAAACAGCAAACAAAAGAAACAAAAATTTTTATACATATTTTCACTTTCTTTATTTCAATAATTCTTACTACAAAACTGAGATCTGTTATCCTTTTTACTAAGTGTAGAATGAAAAAAAAGGTTTTAATTAGCACAAACAATTCACACGAGTTATCTCCCCTATTTCTTGTATGTATGCAAGTATGTATATATATATGTATGTAAGTATGTATATATATATATATATATATGTGTGTGTGTGTGTATATACATATATATATATATATATATAACATTTTGCTAATGTTTAGCCTTCATGCCTGCAAGAAAACACTGTGTTAAAAAGGACGGTTTTTCCCTTGACACCACTATTACTGTATACACTTTTGACTCCCTCACCAATGTTTATTTACAAGATTATAAAAATATGGAAACCAAGTATGTGATATTCATTGACTTTTTATAAAAATTAATTATTTACTATTTTATAAAGAAATAAATTTGAAAAGAAATCATTTTATTCAAGAATTTATAATAAAATTACAAAAATTATCAAAATATCTAAACCAACTACAATGCAATATTTATCATTTTACATTTTATGAATAACTACGAAAGGTTTTTTACTAACTCTAATAAATAAGCATTGTTTAACATCTTTGTTGTCAATTCTTACAAATAAAGGAAATGTATAAATCCATTTTCATATGTTTGGGTTTTATTAAAATTCTAATCATTGCTGAAAGAGTTAAAAGTGTATACATTAATAGCAGTGTCAAAGGAATAACAATCCCTTTTGATACACCATTTTTTGTGGGTATAAAAGTTAAACATTACCAAAGTTTCCTTATATTTTTAACAGATCTTATTTTAATCATGTCTCATATTCAGATTTACAATTTATTTCAAAATTCTGAATTGGTTAAAATTTTTCTTAAATTAAAAATGTAAACATAAATACGACCAGAAAAGATTTTTCATTTTATTCTCAAGGTTTTGAGTGACATTTTATCTGACATTATTTCTTATTACTAAAAACAATGTTTTTAGTGCGGACACATGTTTGAGTTGCTATCCCTTCTTACTTTCTTATAGTGAAATTAACATGCTGTGTCAAGCTTGTCTCCGCAGCCAAACTGCTAGCAGCACACTTTGGCTAAAAAATAGTGGTCTCCCTGATGGAAAAAAAAGTGATGTGGGTTCAATTCCTTTCAGAGGCAATTTTTTTTTTTTTTAATAGGACTTCTCAATCTAGACTGGTTATTATTAATTTCACTGTTAAAAAATGGAGATGGCAACTCAAACACATTTACCTACAAAAATTAATGTCTACAGTAACAAGGAATAATGTGATATTTTAATCAATCCTTGTTTTTTTTTTTTTTATTTGTTATGTGACACAAAATTCTCAGCCTGACCAACAAGCCCTAACAAAATTATTTGTATCAAATTTTATGAAGTGGCCTGGGTCAGAGATTTTTTTGCCTCCTACTATACTAAATATATTTACCTGAAATACACCGGGTAGGGTTTATCATCTCTCACTTGTGTCTCTGTCTTGGGGTAGAGTGTGACTCAGTTGTGGCTCAGTCTGTGGATAGAGATGCAACTGAGGAAAATAAATACTGTGAGGTGACTGGTCCTGGGGAACAGCTGCCTAAGGCTGCATTCCCTGCTCCCACATTGCACTACCAAGGCCAGCGCAACCGATGGTAATTTTTGTTCTTGTTTTTTGTTCTTTACCTACAATAAACCTGACCTTGTGTCATCTCACATCTCAGTAAGGGGAGACAAGGTAATTATCATACAAAATATAGCTTGAAGAATACTTGAGACATGAAATATTCACCATTTTGTTTTAAGCTTTCCATCTAGTTTCTCTTTTTCTTATATGGTTGATTTCTGGTGGGCATAGTTTTAAGCTGTTTTTAACATGGTGTAGCTAGATATCTAGGAAGGGTAAGGAATTGTGTTCTTACATTTTGTATGGAAATTTCATTGTGTGCTCGGCTTTGTTTGGTTGTTCTACTAGATCAGGTAAATCAGTATCATGAAAATATATAAGTAGAGCCTCATCAATATAACAGAAGTGTGATGATTGTTTGGGTAAAATACTTTGGAAAGAACCGGAAACCCAATCCTAAACTGAAAATAAGATTAAACTCCTACTCCTGTTCAAAAGTTAGGGGAGGAATATGAACCAGACAATAGGTGAACCTATCTATTCCTACTAAATGTCATTTTGTCTGACGATCACAAAAGTGTGAAATCCAGGGTCACAAACTCACATCAATCCAACCAAATATGTTAGCTCTATCTCTGATATTGAGCACTTTCTAATAAGTACTGTTCATATAATAATTATATATATTTATATTTATATACACACACTTTTCACATATATATATATATATATATATATATATATATATGTCTGTGTGTGTAGATGTAATATGCAGATGAAAGAACTTTGAGAAATGAAAAATCATCAAAAATAA